CATCACCTCCACAAATTATACCGACATCAAATATAGTGAAAGCAGGTCCTTTATAATCTTACCTGTAAAAACTTTAGTTTTTTTTATTCTATGCAATGTTCATCTTTTGTCCACATCTTTTCTTTTTTTCAGTAATATGAAAAGTCTTCATCATCTAACATTTTTGTAATTTGTGGGTTTTGAAATTATTTTCAGTTTTTATTTTTTTAAAGTAGTTTACTACAGGGTTTCAATTTATCATGTTCATTTATGAGTACAATGCATCTTGGTCAATGTAACTCCTTCCATTGTTCTCCTCCTTCAAATTACCTGATTCCATTTTCACATATGTACATTGACTATTATAACGATATTCACTCACCTTTCCTCTCTCCACTCCTCTAATTTTCTCCCCTTGACCTTCCCTCTCCTCTTAATTGGTGGGTTTTGAACCAGCATATTTAAACTTTCTTTTTTTTTTTTTTTTTGGCCGGTCATGGGGTTGAGCTCTGGGCCTAGGCACTGTTTCTCAGCTCTTCAACTCAAGGCTAATGCTCTACCACTTGAGCCACAGCACCACTTCTGGTTTTGTAGTGCTTTATTGGAGATAAGAGTCTCATGGACTTTCTTGCCTGGGCTGTCTTTGAACCATCATCCTCAGATCTCAGCCTCCTGAGTAGCTAGGATTACAGGCGTGAGCCACCAGTGCCTGGCTTAAACTCAACTTTTTTTTAATTGCCACAGTTGAATATGCTTTGCTTCTTAGTTGAATAATAAGATAATTTTACATATATTTTAATGCTTTCCCAGTTCAAGTTCTTACTGGTACAAGTAAGTGATCTTTGACCCCAGATTATTATTATTTTTATAACTATAATCTCATTTAAGAATTGTTAGATATTTGCTTTAATTTTATAACTGTGAAAAGTGATGCCTTATGGGTCTTACTTTACCCATATTTTGGTTCTTGTATTCTTATTCTTGTTTTGCTTTGCTGCTTTTTATTTTTTCATTTTAGCAATTTATCTTTATTTTGTTTATTTTTAAAAATTATCTTTAAGTACTTGTACAAAGGAGTTTCCATTTAGCAAAGCAGCTTATGAATACAATGCATCTAGGTCAATGTCACTACTTTTAACATTCTCACCTCCCATCCCTTCCCTTCCTCTTTTGAATTTTTTATTATATACATTGAATTATTGACTGCATTACCCCCTTCTCTTTATTCATCTTCTCCTCTTCCCTTGACATCCCTCTTCTTATTTGTTGCTTTTTGTTGTTTTGTTTCTTTTGCCTTTCTCATGACATACTGTTACAGGTTAGTTAGAACTCCCTTGCTAGGTCTCTCCCTCCATCCTTCCCTAGGTCCCTACCTTCCTGTCTTCTTCCCTTTCTACATGTCTTCCAGGAAGTACTGTGGTTTGAATGCAGAGCCTTATTCTTGGTAGGCAAGCACTATAGAGATTGTCTTTAGGAAGGAAAACCTGGATGATGTATATGTCTGATAGTGTTCTTCATGTGAGAACATCAGTAGAGTTTGCTATGAAATAAATTTGATCTCAAACATTTTATCCATATAGTAGAGATTCGGATTGTTGTCTGTAGGAATTCTATTCCACAAGTATGGGAATCACTTAGTCTCTCCCTCTCCCTTCCTTCCTCTCTCCCTCTCTCCCTCTTTCCCTCTCTCTATCCCTCCTTCTCCCCCTCTCTCTCCTCCTCTATAATAACAATAAAAAATTTAAAAAAAAGAAGCCGGGCTCTGGTGGCTCACGCCTGTAATCCTAGCTACTCAGGAGGCTGAGATCTGAGGATCGCGGTTCAAAGCCAGCCCGGGCAGGAGAGACCATGAGACTCCTATCTCCAATAAACCACCAGAAAACCGGAAGTGGCGCTGTAGCTCAAGTGGTAGAGCGCTCGCCTTGAGCTGAAGAGCTGAGGGACAACGCCCAGGCCCAGAGTTCAAGCCCCGAGTTCAAGCCCCGAGTTCAAGCCCCATGACCGACAAAAAAAAAAAAAAAAAAAAAATTAAAAAAAAGAAAGACCACAAATGAAGAGATTGGCTTAGGAGGCCAGTGTGGTAATACAAGTGATGATTCTAAGGGTGGAGTAGAATAAACAGGTTCAGCAGATATTTGAAAAGGAGAATTGAGATTCAGTATCATTGATTCAAACGATGAAGATGAAGAAGAAAGGTGGAATTCTCAAGTTTAGTACTCAGGCTACTTGGACATACTGAGTTGTCCAAACTAACAGCCTTTGGGATAGAGACTATTTACAGGAAAAACCTTTTGAGGATTATAAGGAAGATTATGAATCACAGAAGAATCAAGAGAGGTAATCCATAGACAAGCCAATGATTTGCCTAGAGCTGGGGAAAGAAGGAAACGTGACTGGAAGAAAGAAAGCAATTGATGATGGAAGGTTCTTCAAATTGTAGGAAGAAGTGAGACTCAGGGTACTTGGAAGGCTAAGATCATACCTCTTCTGTTGTAATGGAAGAGGGGGAAGGAATAGAGTATTAGACAAGTAATTTTACCTTTTTTGTGGTAGAAAAGTTGAGGGAGTTTCCATCAGAAAATTTTTTTTATTGTGTAAATACTGTACAGAGTGGTTACAATTACATGGGCAAAGTAATGAGTACATTTCTTATCAAGCATTGTTGCTTCCTCCTTTGTTTCCCCTTCCCATTCCTTCCCATGCCCCCCCCCCCCCCCATCAGAAAATTTGTATGTTTTTCTGGCAACTGCTGCTAAAGGGGGAAGACAGGGCTCAAAAGTTTGAGAACAGTAGATAAGCTTAAAATAGTTACTAGTCTACATTGAATATGTAGAGTAACAATTAGGGAAAAAACCAGATTGTTGTGGGCACTAAAGTCCCAGTTGAAAAGAAAAACCATGAACTTAACACTGGTATCAGTGTGGATTTTCTCTAAGCCTTCTTAGGAGCTTTTAGTACATGAGAAACTGATGTTATTTTACTATATTGTCTTGAAAGTACAGTGTAGCAGAGAGGTTAAATGAGAAAGCTCTCTGTCCTCTTATCTAAGTTTCAAAAATCAAGAAACCATAAAGGTTTGTCATTATTCACTTAGTGGCAGAAACTGAAAAAGTTTATGTGAGACTATTATATAGATTTTACTTATCAAACAATATATGTGTTCCTATGTTTTGTGTCACAAATTAAAATGTGATTATGGTCTACCAGAAACTTTGCTGGTGATGTTATATACTGAATCGTCACTGTAGAGCTGTTCTTCAAACAAGAGGAAATACAAATCTGAATTCCTGAAGGGCTTCTGATGATTCTAATGCCTTCAAGGAGAGACTGTATTTCTGTAAAATCTTTAGCTGGATGAGAGAAAAAGGGAAGATGGGAAGGGTATTCCAATGGGATTAAAGCTGAGAGTCAAGGAAGTTGCTACCCTAACACACACACACACACACACACACACACACACACACTCTCACTCTCTCTCTCTGTCTCTCTCTCTCTCACACACACACACACAAACTACGGTACTAGAAATCAGTACTGAATAAAATCTGAAGACTGGGAAGTTGAAATGAATACTTAGAATGTCACTAGTGTTTTCAAGGGAGAAAGTTGTGGATGGTAGTGAAGTCCAGGGTGTGACCATGGGTGTAGGCAACTGTTGTAATGCAATCATTACAGATGAGGTCAGGAAAGCAAAAGCAAGAAAGGTAGATGAATGACCCAGAGTAACGACAAGATTTGGAGTGGAATAAAACACTATGTGCCAAGTTCTCTGATTTTTAATGAGGAAGGCACTGCAATATGTATCTAAGATGGCAAGAGATGTACTAGTTGTTTAATAAACAGAAAAATTAAGAGGTAAGTTTTTATACAGCAAACAGTATGTAATGTTAATATTGTGATCTAAGAGCTGTTATAGTCTAGATAAGGAAGGAGACTTCAATATCCAGACATGTTAGAACACTAACACTTCAGTATTTCATACTTTTTGGAATTTCTAGTATTTGTTAAAATTTGTATACAGCCTATGGAAATTCAGTAGAATATTAAAAAATAGTGCTTAAATCTGTCATATTTATTAAGTAGTGTATTAGAAGCATGACAAGATAAAAAGAATATGAACTGCCTTCAAGAAGTTTTTTCTAATTTTAGAAGCCTCACAAACTTAGTTTCAGAAAGATGTTAATTGTGAGATGTTAATTGTCTAGTTTCTTCTTTGTGACTTTTTATTTTCTACTTTTGTTTTTATTGTCTTATATGCCTCAATCCTTTTCGGATTCAAGTATTAGTATAAATGATAAGCAAATATATTCTAATCATTGAAAAATAGGTAACTGTGTTAGGAAGGATGTACTCCATGTTGAAAAGAATATATCTCATCTCATCTAAATATATTTTACTTCTGTGAGCAGTGTCAAGTATCAACTGTCCTTTGGAGGTTATATTAGGTCCTCCTCAAAGAAAAAGTCATGGGTTGGTTGATGGATGCTATTCTGGAGTTGAGGAGCTGTGGGGGTAGGCTGCGCTGACCACAGGAATGTTCAACAGCAAATGCTGGCTTTGGCCAAGGAGCTTTCAATGCATTCTGACCTCTTTGAAATGTTAGCACTGATGAGTACAAATCATCTGTCACAGATTGAGCGTATTATGTGAGCGTAAGAGTGCAGAATAGGACAATGATATCCGATCGATAAACAATGTGTGTTTACAGATTCCCTAAATAACAGGTCCAAATAAATTTTATTCTGTTAAATAATCCAATTGCAAGTTTCTGTAAAATTTTTGTCTGTCTCATGTATTTTAAGCAAGGTTTCTGGGCCGTGTGGCTTTTTCTAGTAGACTTCAATGACATGCAGCCACCAAGCAGAGACCTTGGCATTTATATATCACCAAGTGTCTTTAATCTTGAGCACTGTTAGAAAACTTAGGTTAGTATAATTATAGAGTATTATTATGCAAAAAGTTGGCTATGTGGTTTCTCTTTTTAAACTATTTTTCACCATCTTTCCTCCTTTCTCTTCTAGTTCACAGCCATGAATGACCCACAGTGCTTCTACAATGAGTCCATTGCTTTCTTTTACAACCGGAGTGGGAAGTATCTTGCCACAGAATGGAACACAGTCAGTAAGCTGGTGATGGGCCTTGGAATCACCGTCTGTATCTTTATCATGCTGGCCAACCTTCTGGTCATGGTGGCAATCTACGTCAACCGTCGCTTCCACTTTCCTATTTATTACTTAATGGCTAATCTGGCTGCTGCAGACTTCTTTGCTGGGTTAGCCTACTTCTACCTAATGTTCAACACAGGACCCAATACTCGGAGATTGACTGTTAGCACATGGCTTCTCCGTCAGGGCCTCATTGACACCAGCCTGACAGCATCTGTGGCCAATTTACTGGCTATTGCAATCGAGAGGCATATTACGGTCTTCCGCATGCAGTTGCACACACGGATGAGCAACCGGCGGGTGGTGGTGGTCATTGTGGTCATCTGGACTATGGCCATTGTGATGGGGGCCATTCCCAGTGTGGGCTGGAACTGTATCTGTGATATTGAAAATTGTTCAAACATGGCACCCCTATACAGTGACTCATACTTAGTTTTCTGGGCCATTTTCAACTTGGTGACCTTTGTGGTAATGGTGGTTCTCTATGCTCACATCTTTGGCTATGTTCGTCAGAGGACTATGAGAATGTCTCGGCATAGCTCTGGACCACGACGCAATCGGGATACCATGATGAGTCTTCTGAAGACTGTGGTCATTGTGCTTGGTGAGTTTCGTGTCCCAATGTACCTTACTATACGGACTCTGTCAGTGTCTTATTGCATGATAGTGGTAAGCATCAATATGAATATTTACTACATCTCTATGCAGAATGTAGAGGGGATAAGGAAACTTCATATGAAAGGCAAGTGGAAAATTCAGCTTACCAACTCTACTATTACAGAATCAGCTAAATAGTGGTCTTTCATGATGGCCATATGAAAGGCGTGATTGAAGATGACTCTCTAAAATGGGAAACACTATAATATGTAAGGCCCAGGGCTCCATCCCAGTACTACTATGGTTGGGAAAACAGGAGAAAGAAAACACCAAAAACCCATCAAATTCATTTAGCTTTGGAAAGGTTTCCTAATATATGTAAGGAGTGTGTGACTTCATCTTTTTTTCAGTATTGACCATGGTTTTAAGCTAACTTCTCTGTTAGCTTTGAAATCAATAATCATATATATAAGCTTATATTCTAATACAATGTATGATTATATCATATATATACTAAGTATATATATGATATAATATATATATCATATATTATATCATATATATACTTAGTATATATATGATATAATATATATATATATATATAATTTTTGTTGGTTCTCTATCATCTGAGCCAAGCCTCTAGGCCCTGCTTTTTTGCTGCTTATATTTTGAAATGTAGTCTAGCAAACTTTTTTTTTTTTTGGGGGGGGGTCCGATTGTGGGGCCTGAACTCTGGGCCTGGACACTCTTCCTCAGCTCTTCAACTCAAGGCTAGCGCTCTACCACTTGAGCCACAGTGCCATTTCCAGCTTTTTAATTTTTGCTTATGTGGTGCTCAGGAATAGAACTCAGGGCCTCATGCATGCAAGGCAAGTGCTCTACCACTGAGCCACCTTCCCAGCCCAAGCAAACTTTTATGTAACCTATAAATTTCAGTCTTCTGGATCTCATCTTCTGAGGAACTGGGATTACCCAGGTGAGCTACCAGTGCTCAGCTAAATAGAAGATGCTTTGTATACTATAAGTATTCTTTTATTATGGTTATTTCATTGCAGTCTATTTCTAAGTTAGTCTTTGTATTTTATAATTGTTACTATACTGGAGGCAAGTATATAAAGGTATTATATAGATTTATGTAACAAATTGTGAATTAGTGATATTCTGTGCTACTAGTCTTCACAAAAATTCTCTTTTAGAATTAATTTTCTCTCTGTAGTAACAGAAATCAGTTCTGATTTTGAGGGGAAGACCAAGATTTTATTGTTTTTATAGACTCTAATAACTTTTGCCTTTAAATTTAAAGCAAATGTAAATTTAAATTATTTTTGCTGGATGAAAAAATTCTTGGTAGTGATTGGAAATAATATATTCATATACTTATGTATGTACAAAATAGTTAAAGAAGATGAGTAAGTTCTAGGTTCTGACTGGCCTGTGGAAATACATTCACCCAAAGAATAGACATAGAATATTTCTTTAGTGGAAAATTGGTTTAAATCATTATTGACTTGAATTTCATTTTCTCCATAGATATATTGAGATTTATAGTTTATCTTCTTCCTTGCCTTGCCTTGCCTTTATTTTCCTTTCCTCTCCTTTTCTTCTTTTTCTGCCAGTACTGAGGCTTAAACTCTAGGCCTTGTACTCTCAGATTTTTCACTCAAAGCTGATGTTCTGCTATTTGAGCCACACCTCCACTTTTGACTTTTTGTGGGTTAATTTCAGATAAGAGTCTCTCAGGTTTGTCTACCTGGGTTGGCTTCAAACCTTCATCCTCAGATGTCAGCCTCCTGAATACCTAGGATTTACAGACGTGAGCCACCAACAGCTGACGTATGTTTAAGTTTTTAAACAGAACCTTTTAGAGACTGAGGATGTTGTTCAGTAGTAGAGTGCTTGCCTAGCATCTTTGTGGTTCAATCCTAGTATCGCACAAAACAAAGCAAGAATAGCAGAAACCTAATTATTTCATCTTTTCCTACAGATATTCAGTGGAAAATTCTTGTAATTTTGTTCTTCATAAAGCAGAACAGAGGAATGTAATTTGGGATATGTCTTCTGTGTACCCTAAAAGGAGACAGAACTCTAACTATCATTAAATAAATTAACATTGTGGTTGGTGCATTGACCCCATTCTGTTTTGCTTAGGGCAGAGACACATTGGAAATCATCTCTGGCTGTATTGAGGTGACTTGCTTGTAGACCTTCAAGTATGAGATCCAGGACTTTCTCTCTCTCTCTCTTTCATTCTCTCTGTTTCACTTCCTGGAGTTTATTTCAATATTATTTTATATGATCAGATGCACATAGGCATTAGGCCTCTGTGTTCCTCTCCTAAGAGTACCCTCCTTTGGTTGCACTATGTGTGAATGCCTAGAGTCCTGTATATTTTATCATATCTCTGGATATTTTAGATTTAGCTTCTATATATGACATTTATTTTTTTCTTATTTATTGATCAATTAGGCAATTTTGCTACTGGTGACCCCATCCCCTCAGTCATGAGATGATCTTATACTACTCAACAAAGCATAGTGGGAGTACAAGGATATTTTTCGTGTGTGTGTGTGTGTGTGTGTGTGTGTGTGTGTGTGGTGCTAGTAGTTAGGCTTAAACTCAGGGTTTGGGCACTATCTCAGCTTTGTCACTCGAGGCTGGTGCTCTATCCCTTGAGTTACAGTTCTACTTCTGGCTTTTGGGTGGTTAATTGGAGATAAGAGTCACAGGCTTTCCTGTTTCAATTAGCTTCAAATGAGGATCCTCAAATCTCAGTCTCCTGAGTAGCTAGGATTATAGGCATGAGCCATAAGAGTCTGACTCCTTGTACATTAATTATCAAGGAGACAGTAAACTTTTCTATACTCCCCAAACATATATTTTCCATGATGTAGAGAAAGCACATCTTAATTACCACGGGTGCTATTTTTGTATAAAACAAAATAACATGAGGTTTTATTGTGTATATGCAGCTGTTGATTTGCTGATGATCTCTAAATGTCACTTGGCACTGTTCAGATGTGTGTGCTTTTTGCTAGTATAACTTCAAGAACTGTTTCTCCTTTATGGAACTACTTTCAGTAAATGACTACTAAGCCTGGACTATGAACCTGCCAGGCTGTTGTTTTATGTTTGACCTTTGTACAATATTAGTACCTTTCATCATACACTATACTTAATGATTCATATACAATTAACTTTTGTGCTTCATGGGTTGTTTTGCAAGTTGAGCCAATTATTTTGAGATTTTATTGAGCTACAATTTCAGTGTATACCTTCTCTAACTATCCCTTTCCCTGCCATAACTCCAAACCTCACACTTGAATCTAGCAGAAATAGTGTTGCTTTCAGAGATTTCAGCAAGCAAACATCACAAAGATTAATACCGTTGCCTTTCTGCAGAATAAATATCATAATTTCTATAGTCATAGAACACAGAGAACTCCAAGATGATAGATAGGTGAAGGATGTGATTGTAGTAGAGAAAGAAGAAATTAAATAAATGCACTTTTTGAGAAAAGCAGTAAGGATCAGAGAATGGGTATATATGATAGGATATTTGGAAAGATTAGCTTAGAGAATTCAGTTCTGAATGCCAGATATTTGTCAACAGGAGGCTGAATACTATACTTGCAGTGTATGGCCTGTGTGAATTGTCTGTGCCTCTACATACATGACTATAAGGGAGGGATGGTTTGATCTCAGAGAAGTGAGTTGTGGTCTATCCAAAGCACATCTCATTATAGTCTATTGACTTTTATTTTATTATTTATTTATTTTTCATTCTGGCTTGGGCACATTTGTTTTCTAAGATCGAATCTGTCTCCTAGGGTGTCAGTTTGCTGAGGGCAGGCAGGCAGGGGTTATAGTGCTTTCTTTTCTGTTTTCTCTACATGCCTATAACTGTTGTCAGGCACAAAGTAGGTGCTCAATGAATAATTATTGACTGAATGAAAGTGGAGGAAAAAACAAATTTCTGAGCCTTCAGAATGGGATGCTAGAGTGAGCCACAGCAAATTAATTGCGGTAAATGATAATTTATTTGGTTGGTAGGGAGCCAAACCTTACTACACTTCTATTAGGTTCCATGGTTTATTTTTTCCCTTATTTTTATTTGGAAAGGCTAAAAATGGATGGGTTATAGTTACCTAAGTCAGGCAAAAAATACAGTTCCTTTTGGACAAGGTCACCCCTTCCCTAGCTTTCTACCAATTTTTCCATCCCATCTCATCCACAAGCTGTGTAGTTCATTTTCAATATAGTGTCCAGTTAGAACCTTTGCTGCATTTGTTTACCCTTTGTTCCTCCATTTCTGTGCCTTCCTTTATACTCCCAAAGACAGACAAACAAGACATAAAGAAAAGAAAACAAAATAGAAAAAAGAAAAAAATCTTCCTGTTTCCATTTCCTGGAGTTCATTTGAATAAATATTATTTTGTATGATCAGATGCACAAAGGCATTGTATGTTTCTGATCTTCTCCTAAGTGTCTTCCTTTGGTTTTACTGTGTATGAATGCATAGAGAGCTGTGTAATTTATTATGTTGCAGTGTATTTTAGATCTAGCTTCCACATATGAGAGAAAATACGCTGTTTGTATCTCTGAGCTTGGCTTACCTCACTTAACATGACTTGTTCTAGGTCCATTCATTTCCCTGCAAATGACATAATATTATTCTGTCTAATGGCTGTGTAAAATTACATTTGTATAGGTACCTCATTTTTTTTCATCCACTCATCTATTGTAGGGCATCTGGGCTGTTTCTACAACTTAGCTATTATCAATAGTGCAGCAGTGAACATAGCTGTACCAGTGTCTTTATGATACCCTGGCTTGTGATGTTCTGGGTAGATGTCCAGGAGTGGTATGGCTGAGTCAGAGTTAAGATCTATATTTAGTGTTTTGAAGAACCTCCAGACTGCTGTCCAGAATGGTTTATATTCTCAACAGTGCAATAAGGTTAGTTGGCCAGTCTAACTTGGGTGAGGTGTAATCTCAGAGTTGTTTTGA